GTAAGAAGGCATCTTCTTATCTCAAAGTAAGTATGTCCTTGATTTGCTAAAGAAAATTGAAAAGTTAGGTGTCAAATCATGCAGTGCTCCAATAACTCCTAATTTGCAACTTACAACTGATAGTGAGTTATTTGATGATCCTGAAATATATAGAAGATTGATAGACAAATTGAATTATCTTATGATAACACGTCCAGATATTGCTTACTCTGTTAGTGTCTTAAGCCAATTTATGTCTTCTCCTACTATTAGCCATAACTTGAAAGGTAATCCAAGTTATGGTCTCCTTTATAGTAATCATTAGACATTTGGACATTCAGTGTTTTGCATATCCGGATTGGACAAGTTCAAAGGTTGATAAAAGATCAACTTCAGGTTATTGTGTCTTTGTAGGTAGAAACTTGATATCATGAAGGAGCAAGAAACAAAATATAGTCTCTCAATTAAGTGTTGAATCAAAATATCGAGCTATGGCATAATCTGCTTGTGAAATAATTTGGATTCATCAGTTGTTAGAGGAAATTTGTTTTAATTCATCCTTGCCTACAAAGATATGGTGTTATCATCAAGTTGCTCTTTAAAATGTATTCCATGAACGAACAAAATATATTGAGATTAATTGTCATTTTATTTGTGAAAAGATACGACAAGGTATTATCTCTACAAGGCGAGTCAAAACAACTGAACAGGTATGAGATATTTTCACGAAAGCTCTAAATAACTTCGGGTTGACTATCTTTGTAACAAGTTGAGCATAATTAATATCTATGCTCCAACTTAAGGGAAGTGTTAAGGAAAGTTTGAATCCTATTTGTATATAGCATACTCTTAGAGATATATTCCTAAGTAGTCTAGGAGTTAAATTCGTGAATAGCTTGAAACAAGTAAATTTTACCCTTAAATTTTACCCGCACTATGTTGCGGACTTATTACCACTCACTTCTTTAATATTATTTTATTATTTTTTAAAAATTATTTATATATGTAAAATTATATTTGATTTTTACTTGAAAATTACATTTTATTAGTGTAAAACTTATTTCATAAATACATCTAAAATTATTATAAATAATATTCAACATATTGTACTTAATTCATATCAAGTTTGAGTCCTCTCCATTGTAAAATTTATCACCAATTTGCTAAATGTTTTCAAATGGGAGGCCTATCATGTTCTGTAATCCACAAAGTTATTCCGGCTATTGACCCTCTCATTTTTTTTAAAACAAATATATATTTAATATTAGTTTTTATAAAAAGTTAGAATTCATATTTACTTTTCTTTTTATTTCTTCAATTTCTACAATAAAAATTATTGAATTTATAGGAAAGTACTAATTTTCATATGTACTTCTAGAATTTTTCAAAGGGAAAATTATTATTTTGTCCCTGAGGTTTGCCATAATTATTTAGATAGTCCTCGACATTTATAAATATATTTATAACGTCCTTGAGGTTTGCCACCGCCATATTAATTGGTCCTTCCGTCAAAAAAATACATTTTTTCCGTTAATTTTGAGAAGAAAAGACTAAATTATCCCTTGGAAAAATAATTATTTCTTCCCTGAGGTTTGCCATAATTATTAAGTAGTCCCCAACATTTATACAAATATTTATAATGTCCCTGAGGTTTACTTTCGTCATATTAATTGGTCCTTCCATAAAAAAAATGCACTTTTTCCGTTAATTTTGAGTGGAAAAGACGAAATTATCCTTTATAAATTTTCATTCTTCCATAAAAAAAATGCACTTTTCCGTTTTAATTTTGAGTGAGAAAAAGACGAAATTATCCTTTTATAATTTTCATTGAACATTTATTATTAATCTCTTTCCTCCATTAATCTCTTTCCTCTAAAATACCTAAAATTCACATTTTCACCATCTTCCTCAACCCAACGCGATCTTCATTGCCACCACCGTGTCTCTGTCAAATATCATCTCCATAACCATAATTTGTCAGTAATTTGTCAAAAGTCTGTCAATAAATTTCAATTTCACATTAAGGATTTAAAAACACAAAATAGGCATAAGAAAAGAAATCTATAAGGTAAAATTGTGAAGATAAAATTTATATACAAAGAAAAACACTTGGCAATTCACTCACAATACCATACATTGACCAATGGTTGAAGGCAGTAAAAAGGGCGAAGGGTGGTTGCGACAAAAATGGGTTGAGTGTGCGACCCTTTAGAGAGAGAAATAGGAAGAGGATCGATTTCGTTGGTAAACCTAAAAAATCCCTCGGTAAATATTCAAAATTTCATCAATAAATTATTAACCCTTGACAACAAGTTTTGTTTTGTCACGAAATCTATCAGTGAATTTACCGACTGCAAACGGTGGTCAGTTACTTTCGCGCACTGCAAGTTTGTTCTCCGGCCACATTCTATTGGTAAATCAGTCAGTTGTCTCATTAAAACTCCCACTATGCCTGGCACAATATTTTTCCACCAAAACTATTCCCTCAGTAACTGTAGTCGGTATTCCATTGTTAACTTTTCATTATATTTTCTTACTTTTGTAGTAATTTTTTCCTCGTCTTTTCTCGATATTCCATCAAAATTTATCGTTATAAAAATATGGGATGATATTTGACTACCGTATTAAACTACAACCTGTATTCCTCTATTATACAAGGAGTTAATTAACTATTTGGACATTTCTAAGAATTGAATCCAGGATCATCAAAAATTTATCCGGTGTAGGTTTCTATAAGATAACCTTTTGGGTTGATGTTAGTCCTATTGACTAATAAAATTTCTCATTTTTTTCTAAAACGCATTGCTTTTTAATTAGAATGTATGTGTTCCTCGTACTCACTTATATCTCAAATATGTATTTCTTTTGCAATTTAATGTAGAAATAAAAATCAATTTGACTCACTGAATTTGTATAAAGGGATTAAAAGGTTTCCCTAAATTTGCTTTGAAAAACAATGAATTGATTCAATTTCATATGATTGAAAATATCAACTAAATTAAATCGAAAGGAACATTTTTAATCCTTCTATATAAGTTTAGAGGCTAAATTAATACAAAATGTCAAATTCAACCCTTTTAATCTTTCTAAATAAATTGAGGGACAAATTAGACTTTATTCATTTAATGTATTACGTTTCCAATTACAATATGTATCTTTAAAAAGAAAAACGTGCAGTCGAGGAAAATTCAAAGATGTGTTTAAGGAATTAAGCCACAAAAGGTTGCAAGTCCTAACCGAAGGAGATAAATTCAAATTCATGCCAACTAATTTAAATATAATCAATATTAAATTGATATTAAGTTAATAAAAAATATGAAACCTAACCAAACTATTATTTTACATAAAATTAAAATAATAAATGTGATAGCTATAATACAATATTGACATTTATATCGTAGGATCCATTAGCATGATTTTCATAATCCAAAGTCAAAAGCCTCCTAGCATTTGAGTTGGAGACTTCCTCAGAAAATCATAAACAAATAAAAAAGGTCAAAATCTAAAATTTTCAACAATACTTCATATTAAGATGTTGCTTTTTCCTTAGTAATTAAGTTAAATTATCAAATTATTGTTTTATTTTTTTAATTTTAATTTTAAATAATAATAATAATAATAATAATAATAATAATAATATTCATTTGAGATATTTAATTAAACTAATAATAAAATAATAAAGTAGAAGAAGAATAATAATTATGGAGAAGCCAATGCATTTGATTTAGCTTAATTAACTGATTCATTATAAACATTTCCTTTTGCTTAATATTAATACTATAAATAAACAAATACACATGCAATCAAAACAATCAAATCATTGCACACCAACACATAACTTCTGTTCGGCAAAATTAGCTATTTTAGTAGCGTTGAACTGTTCGAGTAGTTAATAATTATTTTTTTTAAGATAAATAGTTAATAATTGTTTGAGTAGGTAAACCTTACGCGTTGATCTTTTATAACATTATCTCAATTTTTTAAAATTAGTTCAAATGTTATATTATTAAATATTATAAAAAATATTATTTAACATTTTATTCAAAGTTATTAAAAACTTATTGGTCAATACAGTAATAGTCTAATATAGATACATATACAATTTGATAATAGATTTAAATTCAAACCCAATTCACAAAATTGAAAAAGAAAACGCAATTAATAATAATAATAATAATAATAATAATAATAATAGTTGAAACATATTCTCACGGGTTATGTTCGTTTGATAGTAAGCAAGGAACAAAAACAATTGACAAGATGTATGAGAACCATGTGCCTGTCCCACACCAAATTATTAACTCTCTCTCCATGCCCTGCCTGAGTTGTCCGTACAGGGACACTAGTTAAAGAAGTCGACAAGGTTAGCTAAAGAAGGAAACCGAAACGTAACAGGTGCGGGACCCACTCTCGTTGGTTTTCATTATGGGGCCCACACCAACATTAACATCATAGCGTTCATTGCCATACCCGCCCAGACCAGACCAGACCAAATCCCCCGCTATGGTAAAATCATTATTCCTTTATTTAACACCACCACCACCATCACCGGTGCTGCCGCTACAACCCCCACACGTGGATCCATTAATTCTCCCACGTGAGAGTGTGGGACCCACGCTTTCGCAACGGGCCTTTAACTTTTATTCTCTCCCCGTTTTTATTAGTGGATTGTAGCGTCTGCTTACGTGGCGCAACCACCAAGCATTTGATACGTGGCAGATATACCGCCCTGTCAGTTACTTCATCAATTAATTTTAAAATTTTAACTTAAAATAAAAGATCCAGTAAATTTTGGTTGTATTGTAGTAAATCGCGCCTTTTGGTTTTTGTTTTGTTTTACAAACCTAAAATAGGTAACACCGCAGATCTTGTAATTGCCCCTATAAGTTTGTTGTTATTACTTAACCAAAACCCAAAAGACAAAATCTGCCACTGTAATTTCCTTCCTACGTAGACAGATTTTATAGATATATAAAGTAATAAAAAATTATATATTATATTTAAATATGTGCTTTCTCTCTTTATAAGTATGTCTTTTGACTTTCTCTCTCTCCTTATAACCAAACCTAAATAAACCAGGAAAATCCTCTTTGTGCCTTCTAGTGGCCACCTATATTGCATGGTCATTGCTCTCTCTCTCTGTCTCTCTCTTTTAAGGCTCATCTCTTTCTTGTTCTCTCTAACCGAAAGCAAAGCAAATAGATCATACAGAAGCAAGGAATATAACAACTTTCATGGCAGTTGAAGCTCCGCATATAAACCTCTTCCCTTCTTCACAGCTAATCGCTAATAGGTACTGTGAAAGTTTTTCTTTTATTTCTTTTTCCTTTCTCTTAATGGGTTTTTATTATTTTCTTGTTTCTTGACATGGTATTTCTTGTTTTTTTGCAGAGATTTCAATATTTACGATACCCAGATGGATTCTGGTCTTGGTTTCAATGAAACAATGCCAGCTACGACAATTTTTCCTTTCTATCAGTCTCTTGTATGTGATCCCATTTTGGCTAAATCATCCATGAACAAAGATGACAGTGGACTCACTTACAATATTCCCGCTCCAAGAAAAAGGGCTAGAGATCCAATCAACGATTTGGATTCTTTTGCAGTTTCTCAGAAGAGCAAATTTTCTTTTATTGATGAAGATATCCTGTCTCAGATCCAAAACAACCAATCTGAGATGGACAGCTTTGTTGCTGAACATGTAAGTTAATTTTACCCTGTTTGGTTTCCACAAAGTGATGGAGAATAATTCTTTTTTACTTTGTTGCTGATATTTTGGTTTTCTTTATTGTGTTTGGTAATTCCAGACTCAGAAAATAAGAATGGAGCTTGAAGAGAGAAGAAAGAAGCAATCAAGAATGTTGGTATCAGCAATTCAAGAAGCAATAATCAAGAAATTGAAGGAAAAAGATGATGAGATACAAAGAATGGGAAAATTGAATTGGGTTCTTCAAGAAAGAGTGAAAAGCTTATACATAGAGAATCAAATTTGGAGGGATTTAGCGCAAACTAATGAAGCCACAGCAAATTCTCTCCGAAGCAATCTCGAACAAGTCCTGGCGCACGTTAGCGAGGAACGACACGTCAGCGGTGGTGGTGCTATGGTAGCAGACGACGCAGAGTCTAGCTGTGGGAGCAGTGATTATGGGAGGCGGTGCACGTTAGCAGAGGAGGAAGTGTGGGCGAAGGATAAGGTGGCGGTGGGGGTGAAGGATAACAGGATGTGCAAAAAGTGTGGGGAGAGGGAATCTAGTGTATTGTTGCTACCATGCAGGCATCTGTGCCTCTGTACATTTTGTGGGTCCACTCTGCTCGGCACTTGCCCTGTTTGTGATTCTGGGATGACTGGTAGTGTACATGTTAACTTGTCCTGAAATTTTAGGAGAAAAAAAAATGATACTTGTTGGAAAAATATTTAAAAAAAAAAATAGATCACTGAAAATTTTTTCATTATTTAGTGGCTTCCATTATTTAATTTTTATTTTTTTTATGGATGATAAATTAGGAGAGTGGCCATAAAAGATCTTTCAGTCGCTTTCCTTCCCTTCAAAACTTTTCCTTTTCTAATTTCGCTTTTGGCTGAGACCAAAGCATCCAACTTTACTTTGAAAAACTCTTTGTAGTTCTGAATGTGAATCAACAAATTCATAGCTATACCTATTTTTGTTCTAAAATTATATCAATAATAATAAATTTAGTTCTAATTAATAAAATTCAAATGTAATTTTAATTGTATTGAATCAAATTAAATTGGTAGATTTTTCAATATTTAAAAGTGGAATTATTTGATTAATTGAAAAAAATAAAATCTCTCTTACAGGAAACCATTGAAGATTGTCCAAAAGTGGGGTCTATTGTTCATTAATTCTTTTCTCTCTTTATCCCCAACCAAAAACTTTTTTTTCCCAATTAATGATTTAATTTAACAGTTTTTGGCTCCAAATGCCCACAATTATTATGTCTTCTATTATTTAACTTTATTTTCAATAATAATTGTACTTTGATTGTCGCTTTTCTCTTTAGTCTTTTTCTTTTTTTTTTTTTTTTAATAAAGGATCTCTCTTTAGCCTATTTAAGTGTTTAAAAGGAAAAATAAATATGACCCCATATTAGAATTTTGAAGTGGTGTGCTAAATTTTATTATTAAAATTAGTCACATATTTGTGTTTAAACAAATAAAATATGATCCCAATGTCTATGTGCAGTATGTCCAATAAAATAAGACAATTAAAGATTAATTAATTAAAATAATCTCTTTCAAAATAATTAAAAATCGAAAAATTAAAAGTGGTATTGTCCATCACCAAAAGAACAGAAAAGCGAACCTTTAGCTATGCATTTTCTTTTTCTTTTCTTTTCTTTTTGTCTCTTTTTTTCATATTTGCCTTTATATAGTGATCCATAATTTCTTTTTTTTATATAAAAATATTTGCTTTTGGTTAAAAAAGAGAAGAACTTTTTTTACAATAAAATATGGTTGGCAGATGGAAGTTGTTTTTTTTTTTTTTTTTAAATGTGGAAATGGAAGTTTGTTTGTATTAACTGAAGCATATGCCAAGTGGCAAAGAGACAGAAGACACGTAGGATAAAACCAAACCAAAGCGGTGATAATTAAGTGGGGCCTACCACGTGTACACGCGCGTTGCTTGCCGTATTATTCATTGAAAAAAGTAAGCAGCGTGAAAACAAACCTGGGTACGACGAATCTTTACACACATGAAAATCAAGGAGCACTTCGAGGAACACCCCCCCCCCCCCCCCCCCAAAAAAGTAAAGCAGCGTGAAAACAAACCTGGGTAGCGACGAAATTTTACACACATGAAAAATCAAGGAGCACTTCGAGGAACACCCCCCTCCCCCCCCCCCTTTCCCCCCCCCCCCCCCCCCCCCTTTTTTTTTTCCTTTTTCTATTTTTCTCATACTTTAATAATATCAAATGTCTATTCTTATCATCCTCGACGAATTATTTTGTGTTAGGCCAAACATGTAAATCAACCTACACTTACGTTAACTTCTAAAATCAAACACTTTATTTTATAAAATCTCTTTAATTAAAACTTTAACTTACTTATAAAGTTAAACTGCAAATTTAAGTGATATTTACTTATAAAGTTAAAAATGAATTTACTTATGTAAAATTTAAAGTTATTGAAAAATTTTTATGTTAATATTTATTTTTTAGATTTTAAAATAAAAAATAATCTGATTCACTAAAAGAAAAGTAAAAAGTAAAAAAAGTAAAAAAACGCAGAGAAAGAGCAAAAAATGTTAAATAGGGAATAGTATAATAAAGAAAGCGGTTATAGGTGACTGCTAATTTTGGTATATGAAGAGAGAGAGAGATTCTGACAAAGTTGGAGGGTGCAAAGCCGACAAAACTGCCATTCTCACAAAATTTTTCCAATCCACGCACCATAATTGCTTTGCATATTGACAAAACTAATGGGGCCCCACGTTCCTCTACATATTTTCCCTTGTGGGCCTCCACGTGGCCTTCTGTTTAGTCGCTTTCATGTGATTTTCATATTATATAATCTGCAATTTCCGCTTTTCTATTCCTAGTCATGTCACATTCTTGACCCATTCGTTCTTTTATTTTTCATTTTTTTATTGAGAACTCGGTTAATTATATAGAATTCGATTGATTTCGTTTTATCCCTATATTTATTGTACTAAATCAAGAATCAAACTGTATAGTAGTTGATCCAATCTAAATTAAATTAATTTATTTTATTTTAAACTAAATTAGTTATTTTAAAAATAAATTTAATTAATTATATATAATAATCAAAATAAAAATTAAAAATCAAATTATTTTATATATTTCGAATAAAAAAAACTAATAGAACTCAATAAAGAGATTAAATTAAACAAAATGATATGATTCAATTCAATTAAATTTTAACAGACTTGATTCGATTTGTTGACTCCTAAACTTCACGCTCATGGCCCAAACCAAGAAAACTAAATTTAATGATTAATTATATGAACTCATCATGATTCTTAAGTGTTGATTATTTTAAGTTAATTAGTTTCAACTTCCAACTTGAAATATAATGGTGATGATGATAATAAAATAAAATAATAAAAAATTTATTAATTGAAAAGATGAAAGCAAAATGGGTTGATGGTCCCCACCAATATGTGACCTTTTGTTCCTCTGCGAGAAGCATACTTTCACTTCAATGCTAATTGATTGGATTAATTAAATAATAAATAAATGGATTAAAAAAAGAAAGTAATCCATCCAAATTGGATCAGAAATACATGCACCTATTTTGACATCCAATCAACCACACGGTAGTGCATATCTTATCATAAAAGCACGTTTCTATTTTAATAAATATGTAATTGATTCCACATACCCACAATTTGATAATGATAATGACAACCCTTTCGTCTTTTTTTTTTTTTTAAAAAAAAAAAAAAAATTCGGTCTTTTTTTTTTTTTTAAAAAAAAAAAATAGTTTTTTTTTTTTTAAAAAAAAAAAAAAATAGAAAAACTTGTTCTGGAAGAAGAGCACAGGACATGTTGCTTTCAGAAATAGGCAAATTTATTTTAACTTATTAGTTTAAATGAGGTTTAGTTTGATTGAGACTCTTAATTAGTAGGTTCAAATAATCTCTTTCTTTGAATAAATAAAAATTTAGAGTTTTAGTTTGATTGTTTCTTTCTTTATTAATTAATTACAATTTAAATAAAAATACACACATCTCATGAAGATGTTTGGAGTGTTTTGTTTGCTTTTTGCTAGATGGAATGATAAGATAAAGAGAGGGAGAGAGAGAGAGAGAGAGAGATTTGATTAATCTTAATTTCAATGCTTTCTTATAAATCTAAACATCACTTCAATGACCAATTTATATTTTTAGCTTTAAAGAAAGCAAGCCAACTACCCTTATGTCTCCCTCACTTGAAATAGATGACAAAGTCTCAACTTGCTAGCTTTATGTGTGGTTTCTTGTCATTTACTTGACTAAGAGAGAGAAAAGTCATTGTATCATATTATTATTCATTTTATCATTTTTTAAATATATGATTTGGAATTTTGAATCTTTCCTTTTCCCTCTCAACTATTTAGAACCCAATTATGTAAAGCAATAAGATAAGCAAAATTTTGAATTCATCTCTATGTAAATTATTCATCATGTTCTTGGGGGTGAAAAGCATATAGTGATTATTTAATTTTTTTAATAAAAATTTTTCTTAGTTTTAATTATAATTCAGGATAGCTAGTAAAGTAGCAGTATTCAACATGTGTAGAATAGATGCTAACAACTTTGATATTTTTAAATATAATGTCAATAGTTACTGTGATGACTAACAACGGTTAAATGAATTTATCAATAGAACACACTGAAAATTGATAATAAAACTAAAGGTAAAATAATAAAAGATGTTCTAATTACCAAAATATCATTAAACAATAACAATGAATGAGATTCATGGAGAAAATATCTTCTATAGATTATAATGTTGGTTAACCTTAACTATTGAATGCAAAGTTAAAATGGAGTCCCTAGGTCAATTACAAGTTAATCTTTACTTTGAAATACATTATGTCAGATGTTCCCCATAAGTCCTGGACATTTCCAAGCATGGACTTGAGCCAATATTTATTATAATAGGCTCATTTCGATATGCATCATAGGGAATTCCATTGGGCGATAGAGCTGGCGAATAGGAATGGAGACTGATCTTTGGATATCTCATTATATATGGTAGTCAAACTGATTTCCAATCTGATCTATTGCTTTAGACTTTGTCTCTTAATATTACGGGCTCCAACTTCTCTCTAAAAAGGTAGATTCTCTCTTTCTCTCTTTCTTTTATGTCCCCCATTTTATTCCAAGTGGATGGAAAATGGAACGAATGTGGATCTCGTTTATGTATGGCACAATCTAAGAGGGGAGAGAACTGAGTTTTCTAAAAATTTTAACTTTTAAAAAAAAAAAAATCAGAATTCTGTTGCAGTGGAATTAGAAAGCATTTGTGAGAGTAGTTATCAAGTTTAGAACTTCCTCACAAAGCTTATTGCAATATTAGAAAGACTCTGTGAAGAACAATTATTGCATTTAGAACTGCTTCACAACACTTAAGCAAGTTTAGAAAGACTTCGTGAAGAACATCTATTGCGATTAGAACAGCTTCACAAAGTTAATTGCTATTTTAAAAAGATTCTGTGAAAAACAGTTATTGCATTTTAGAACAGTTTCACTAAACTTTAAGTAAGATTAGAAATGTAACATCCCTTCTCTGTCCACCCGTAAACCCGAATAAACCGAGACGAGATGCTACAAACTGGTTGACTGTATGTCCTGTCATGCTGACATCATCCTGTATACAAAACTGGTTGAACTGTATGTCCTGTCATGCTGACATATCCTGTATAAATCTAATATCATGCTGAGATTGCTTATAGTAATAATGTACTGAATATTTACAAGACATG